TGCTGTGTGACCCATCCGTATTGAGTACGGGCACAAGCAGAGTAGTTCAGCTCGCCATTTGTCATTAGTTATTATATTCCCCTGCCGATATGAATACAGGTTCCAGCACCCGCCCACACCTAGCTCCAGTAGACGAGTACAGTCTGCCGTAAACAGTATTGTTACGACTTTGTTTTGATTGGCGGAGGGTCACTGCCACCTTTATACTATACCATGATGTTATAGAACCGTCTACTGTTATTTACTTCTGTTATTGGACACGGGCCAGGTCACCCAATTGGAACATACACATTTCTGTATGTTTGATTAACATTATCGCTATATCGATTTATAACCGCTTACCATGTTGTTAAATTAGATTTTAAGCCATATGCACCGCAGTATGTCTTTCTAGCATGTAATCTACTCATCTGAACAATCTACCACTTCTCCAGTCACACTGCATCTATTGCAAGTGAGACTTCGTCAAGTCTAACAAACTAGGAACCCTTTTAGTTTCGCCATATCTGTTTGTCTGTCTGTCCGTCCGGGGATTATCTCAGTGGTCTTTATCACTAAAAAGCTGAAATTATGTATATCAATCACGCCGACAAGGGGTAAAATAAAAAAAAAACTACGTTTAAAAAAACCGACTTCAAAAACAAAAAAGTGTCAAATAAGTAATTAAAATTGATATTTTTATAGCACTCTTACGTACGCGAAGCTAATACTTTTAATATTAATAATAAAACACTATTAATTCTATGTGCTACCTGTTCATTGGTTTGAAGTCGGTGCCAAGCCCTAAACGACACTTTTTTGTTTTTGAAGTCGGTTTTTTTAAACGTAGTTTTTTTTATTTTTTTCTTTTTAGTGTCGGTTGCAAGTTCTTCTGTAAACTACAGTAATATTTTAAATATAAATTAACATATTGAATAGTATATATTTTTAAGTAGCTATGTGTAATGTGTAGGCCAACGAAAGGAGCCGCCCGATAAAAAAATATAGATCCCAAGAAATGGGAAAGTTCTCATCATCATCATCATCATCATCATCAGCCATTTTAATGTTCCCACTACTGGGACATAGGCTATCTCTCTAGGAGAGGGAAAGTTCTTAACAACATAAATAAATTAAGTCGTAACACAAGGTAGCTACTGTTAACCGTTGAGGAGTTCCCTAGACTGTCGTTCGTCTTCATCATCAGATCCCTAATGACAGTCACAATCCATCAAGGTGTAAAGTTCTCATCAAAACGAATAAATTAAGCTCAAACACAAGGAAGCTGCTATGAATCGTTGAGGAGTTCTCTCGACTGTCTCTCGTTTCCATCCGGAATTCCCTCGACGGTCAATTGTCACCATCATCAGGTAAACTGCAGACCTTCATTTGTTATGATACATACCTACAGGTACAAAGTTTTCATCAATATAAATGAATTAAGTTCAAACACGAAGTAGTTACTGTAAACCGTTCAGGAGTTCCCTGAGCTGTCCTTCGTTCTCATCATCAGACCCTTAATGACAGTTACGACCAAGCCTTCTGCAAAGTGCTCGCCAATACGAATCATTCAAGCCCAAACACAAGGCAATTACTCCAAATAGTCAAGGAGATCCCTCGACTGTCTTCCAGCTCCAACATCTGGTCGACTTCGATCTTCGTCAAGTTGTAGTGTTGTTAAAGGCCTTCTTAAACATCATACAAAAAACCTACTTGCCCCTACAATTTTCGAAAGTTCCCCTCGGTTTCTCCAGGATTCCATCATCAGATCCTGACCTCATGACAATGGGACCAAATGGCAAGTATACCCTATCGAATAAAAAAAGAATTTTGCAAATCGGTCCAGGCGCCTTCGAGTAATCGGTGTACATACATAAAAAAAATAAAAAAAAAATACGCGTCGAATTGAGAACCTCCTCCTTTTTTGAAGTCGGTTAAAAAGTAGAAAAGGGTACCCCCCCCCCCCTCCCACACACACGTAAAGAAGGGAGTAATCTTTTTTTTCATTTCAAGTTTTCAACCCTACCCCCTAACCTCCAATATGGTATATTGTTGGATAAGTATTTAAAAATAAATAGGAAAATATTTTGAATACGATGGGTTAAACAGTTTTTGAAATGTTGTACAAAAAAACTGAACAAATTTTGTAATTTAACCGTAAATGTAAACATTTTTTTAAACTTTTTTTTTGATACTTTTTATTTTGAAACAATCTTCAATCAAATAAAAAAAAAATTATAAAATCGGTTTATGCAATCCATTTAGGTTGAATTGCGGTTTTACGATTTACAATAATTCTTAAATGAGGATATTTCTTGTGACTATTTGTGATAGACGGGAAACTACGGAATCTATACTGAGCGTAGCCCGATACGCTTTTGGCTGGTATATCATACTAAGCGAGCGACTGACACAGACAGGAAATGCCGAAACTTCTGCTCTTCGCTGAAATATAAATAAAAGAACTTGCTGGAATGGAAACAAACAAATTTACTGCATTTATAAGAAATGTATTGTGATAGTAGTAAACTGGACCAAATAATCGCATTGTCACCGGAGTCGTCGACATGGCGGGCTTGTATACATAAAATTATATATATGTACGTTATTATTTTGACTGACTCATTGCATTCTGTTCACAGACACACACAAAAATAGCTTCAGCGTGAAGCTGCGTATGTCTCCTGAGAAACATCGAGCAATAATCGGTATGTTACCTTTCCTGGGTTGTTACGGCTGTAGCCAGTACTCGTGATTGATGATAATAATGTCATTTATTTCAGATGACGACACTAATGATGCCCAGCCCAAGCTAACGCGACACTACTTCTACAGTAAGTGACGAACTATCACACTATTTAACGTCAACTATAAGTAATGGCGAAACATTTTCATATCACCGAAAACAGTTTTTCCAAATAATTACATGAAAATACTTCCTTTTCAGATTCTCTTGTCAACACTCCACAGCTACGCCCCCATGAATACCGCGCCACCAAAAACAGTGAGTGATCATAATTGTAAATCTGTATGTACCTATTGTGTAGTCAGGACGCTGTCAGTACTTTTCTTAGCGAAGTCGTGGGTTCCCTTTTTGACTGCACATTCGATTGTTCCTGGCTGAGTGATTTTTATGCAATGATCATTTTAATTGGAAGAAGTCATAATAACATTGTTTCCACGCATAAGAATGTTTTTCTCTTACCAAGCTCTACATGCAACACTTATTGTCCTGCAACCACCTACTCCTTCATAACAAGTCGTTTTCTTATATTTTCAGTGAACAATAAAGAGGCGCAGAATGTGCCCTCAGAGGACAGCAAGGACAAAGATTACAGTAAGTAACATTTAGTGCACTGGCCAGTGGAGTCGCTGTATGCTCTGCAACTGCAGCAGGTCCTACAAGATACATTTAATTTTTCAGATGAAGAGAAGGAAGGCGTGGCGCGAAGTAAATATACGAATGATCGCGAAGACAAAGCGTACCGTGAGTTATACTTGTATATTTCACTAAAACCTTGACCTAGTTGTTTGATATATAAAAGTTCTCTTAAAATATATTCATCTTTATCATCAACGTCATCATCATCACCAGCCCATAAGTACCCACTGCTGAGCAAAGGTCTCTTCTCACACGGAGAAGGTGGCATTTATCACCACTATAATTAAAAATTATAAGTCTATGTATCCTTACGCTGTTTTCCTGCACCGTTTGTAAGTGGTGTCTAAATACACTTTGAAAGTATGTACAATTTATAAAAAATCACTTGGTATTTGCCAGTTTTCGAACCCGCGCCCTCAAGCATGAGAAGCGGGAAACGTAACCTCCGGGCCACCGCGACCTTAATACATATACGGCTACTTGAATATAGAAAGCTCGCGCTCAGCTTCAGGTAAGCGGACGGAGCTGCCGTCGGGCTGCCTGTACGAGGGGCGCTGGTACAGCGACGGCGCGTCGGTGAGCACGAAGGAGGACTGCCTGGTGTGCGTGTGCTCGCACGGCGCGCTGTCGTGCCGGCGCCGCGCCTGCCAGCCGCTGCCCGACCCGCTGCCGCTGCGCTGCCACGTGCGCCACCGCCGCGGCTTCTGCTGCCCCGAGCTGCAGTGTCCAGGTTACTGCCGTACTACCGATCTAAACTTCAATACAACTCATTCAGTGCCAGGCTTACTCATTTGACAGTTTGAAGTTGCTCGATTATTTTCATGTTACGACCAGGGCTCATAAATTATAAGCAACCAAAGATGCGTAAGCAACGACTATAGTCCTGCAGCTAATTAAATATTCTGATATTCTGTTCCGTAGTAACTATCATGTAGTTATGGGTAAGCCACTGATGTAATTTATTTAAAATATAGTTATGGTACGGTATAGAAATCTTTAGTACAACCGACAACCACTACTTAGTCTGGATTGTAATTTGGCCTTGTTTTTTATAAGACTTAAATATACGACCTGCTACTTGCCAGACGGTGTGAGGCTGATGGAATATAAGCCTATTCCGACGTTGGACAAAACTGACAACGAGGACCCCGAGGTCCCAACGGCCACGCCTGCCACCTCGGCTAATGGTAAGCATTAAAACTCGATTTTCTTTTTCTGAAACTAATGTTTACAACACACTTGTATTTCTTAAGAGCCGTTTATAAATAAGCGAATACAACAGAAGTGAGCATGATACTGGAGTGTTCCCAGCGTGCGTGGAGGGCGGCAGCGTGTTCGCGGCGGGCTCGGCGCTGAGCTCGCGCGTGGCGTGCGAGCAGTGCTTCTGCCTGCGCGGCGCGCGGCACTGCGTGCGCCCGTCCTGCCTGCCGCCGCCGCCGCACTGCGCGCCGCGCCCCGCCACCGGCGCCTGCTGCCCGCAGCGCTACTACTGCGACTCCTCTACTGAGGCGTCGAACCAAAGTCCAAATCAGTTTGGTGAGTATCTTGCATGTTTATAGGTACATATTTGTGATATTTATGTGTGTATAGACGAGTCATGTTTGACGAGGTGCCCCGTGTCCGCAGACTGCCAGGTAGACGGCACCCTGGTGCCGGAAGGGTCCCCTGTGGCGACGCGCGGCAACTGCTCTTCGTGCTTCTGCCTGCGCGGGGAGGTGCGGTGCCAGGCCATGGGCTGCGCGCCCGAGCTGGCCGGCTGCCGGCCGCTGCTGGCTGCGGGCGACTGCTGCGCGCACCAGTATGTCTGCGACCACGTGGACGAAGGTATTTATTCCAGCACATCGCACGACGAGCCTCGAATCCAGCTGCTGAGCGATCTTTTAATTAGTTAAATCCAAAACTCTGCATTTTTGCTATGTGGAACCATTCCAGGCAGTAAAATAAGGTAAATAAAATGGCTCAGATTGCTTGAAGTGACGTGATTAATGGAAGCACTGGTCTGGTTCAGGCAACACTGCGGCGGATAGAGCAGTGAGTCCTTGCATTACTCTCTACTAGCAGTTACAAGTAAAATGTTTAAGATCGATCTCGTTGTTGTAAATACTAATGATAATGTTGTGCTGGTACTGTTTCGTCGTGTTTATTTACTGTCTGACATTAACACAGCAAACGAAGAGCACCCACATTACATGTAATATGACAAAGGCATATTGGTACTTGCCAGATATTGAGCCCGCATCCAGCAGCTTAAGAAGCGGGTCAGTAAAGCTCGCAGCCGCCGCGACTCTGTTATGGACGCTTTTATTATTAAACGGTAAATGTTTAGGGCGCTTACATTACATAGGGACACACGATGCTGTCATACTCGTCTTCTTGTCTTTACTGATGTTGATGTTTGTACTCAGTCACAAGAGTGTTCTACGACCAGACATACCAGCTCTTTATGGGACAAGGTGACAGACTAGACAAGCCACTCAAAGAGATTGTGAAAAAACGAGCACCAGAACGAAGAATTAGGTAGAAGTATCACAACCAAACAGATTAATAACATGTTGGAATTCGGAGCTTTGAACTAAACACAGGCACACAGGCGATAGTAACCCTTACGCTAATGTACGCTACGCAGACCACCGAGCTGGCTAGGACCTCGTACGGCACGCGCACACTATGAGTAGCAGCACCACTAGTGTTTGAGTACCTATTACTCAACCCGTAGGTACCTAATTGTAATAGATAGACTAGTGTAGTTACGCTGCTAATCCTGGCTAACACCGCTTACGGTAAAAGCAATACTAAAAGATTTTGTTTTGTGATTTTCAGAACTTCTATCACACGTCATAATGGGACCGGTAAACTCTCCAGCATCTATAAGGTCCGACGAGCGGACTTTCCATTTGACAAAAGCCACCAAGCTAGAAACCACGACAAAGAAGATAACGAGCCTTTTTACTTTGAAACACATATCTTTCGCGTCAGCCACTAAGAACCACCTCGTTACCACAGCTAAAGTTAAGAGAAGAACAGACGACCAGCCTCAGGAATCCGTCTGGAAACCTGAACCAACCGATAACACCACGTCTCCTAATACCACAACCACACAGCAACCGTCGAATGCTGCCAAATATGTACCTAACACTCAGGCTGTTACTGACACTTATTCAGAAACCACTACAGATCAACCAGAAGCAATCGTTAAAATAACGGTCAATGGAACTATAAACTGCACAGCTGAACTATCTTCTACATCCTTACCTCTAAATTTAATACACAATCACACTGACAAAATTCAGAAGGAAGCAATGGCTCGAGTGCCGATTGTCAACGTGGAAGCGCAAACATATTCACCCAACGACATAATAACTGACAGAAACGTAAACGGTGGCTTCGACGACGCTGACACGTTCACAATAAACGTGACGAGCTCGTTGATCACCAACACTAGCCACTCTACGGCCAGACCCGCGATGTCTGCCCCCAAGATATCAATGACAGGCCTTGCGGATGCGCTCAATATATCTAACAACAAAAAGAGCGATTTTGATTACGATTACACAGAGCCGACACTGCCGCCATCATTGCCGAACCTAAAGTGAGTACTGCTAATAGATCAAATTTTTATTGGAGAATAAGAGCGATACTAGCTATAGCTCTATATAGCTAGACGTACAGAGTGATTTTACAAAAATATTACTCTGAGGTGAACAGGGTCGTTTGCAATTTTTACCCAAACGAAGTATTTTATCATTAACTAAGCTATATTTGCCTACCTACAGGATCATTCCATTTGTAGCTGCCGATGCAGTCGTTGAAGATGAACCTGTCAAGGACAATGTCAGATATCCGATACTGGAGAGACCGGACAAGTTCCCGGTGTACTATCCCACCACCGAAACCAAAGACGACACATTCTCCATCAGACGAGAAGATACCTACCAACCTACACAATATCCAATCTTTGTGATGGGCAAAGTGGAGCCACCGTATAACCCTATCAGCCAGGAAGTGGATCGGACAAGGGAAAGATATCCTGAGCGCAATGATCTAGGCGTCCAAGAGTATACTGTGTCGGCTTCACTAGGAAGTCCAATGTCTGGTGTGAAAGCAGTCACCAAGGTCCCCACGACCACTACTACTTTTGCTATGGAGACACCGGCTGTAAATCGGTTTTCTCCACCGGTGGAAACTCAAGGTAACCCTTTGAAAGCCAAAATCACCTCGAGTGACAGTGGCCAATTTAGTACCTCGCTTGCGCGGATTGGTTAGCGCAGCCTGTTTGTAATTTGTAACGCTAACCAATTCAATGAATAGAGCTGCGGACCTGTATTCCATTTACTTACCTCATTACCACGTTGCAGGTGGTTTCATCCCGAAGGGGGCAGGTGTAATCGATGACTTCTTCGGAGTGTTTACTAGCACTGAACCGACCCCGACCGTCCCTAGTCTCACTACGTCCATGCTACTAGATGTCAAACGTATACAAGGTGAATCACTGAAATAGTTCTTACAACTTGATATACAGAAAAATTGTGTGGTTTCAACTGCATATTGATATTGTTACACCTTTCATATTTTTTGTCTGTTTGTGTCATTTGATTCCGAGCAATCCGGGGTCAATTTCATAAAACTAACAATCAATACAGTCTCCTTAAAAAAGAGCAACATATAAATGGTACAATGATAAAAATTCATAAAATATTACTAAATTGGTGCGTTGAATCTACATGAGTTATATACAGCATATCATTTGTTATATCCAGTTGTCCAATGATTTATATATTTACGCTAGACATGTTGTTTATTGCGGTCATCAAATTGGCAGGTGAGTGCGTAGCAACCGACGGTCGACACGTACCCGGTGGCGAGAGTATCGTGATGGGCTGTCATCTGTGCACGTGCTCGTGGGTGGAGCTGGTCTGCGACCGCCGGCCCTGCACCGCGGCAGCGCCCGGCTGCCGGTACCTGCCGATCTCTAACCACTCGATAGATCCCTGCTGCGGAGACATTGTCTGCGGAGATGCAGGTAAAGTAATGCGGTCATTACAGCATTTAATTAGCATAGCATAGCAGCCATTTTTCTCTATTTTCACATAATATAACGATTGTGCGTAATTTAAATGCTTTAGTACAACGTTTAAATATATTACACGTAGATTTTGTTCGCAACAAAGATAATATAAGAATAATAATGTTTATTTACAGAAGAGAATACTGCTTCTAGAATTGTAACAGTTGAAAGTGAGGATAAACCAAATGAAGCCAAAAACACAGTCCAATCGCTTAAGTCTTCTGGTCATAATAGCACAAAGGTAGCTGACACAAACGCGGATGGTAACAACAACGCCACAGTAAATCAACCAAGCGCAGTAAATGGAAGTGTCCCGACTACAACTACTACACCTACCACTCCCACTACTACTTCGAGTACTACGACTACGACTACTACTACTACTACTACAACTTCTACTAAACCAACGCCCACTACTACACCCGTTCCTGTTAAGCAGGATGGTGGTTTTTCTCACGATGACGAAGATGAAGATGAAGATAACGAATTCTCATTTGGCAGCGTACTGAAGCTTCTCCTCAGTGATAGTTTTGAAACCACAACTGCTACAAACAGAAGGACCATCTACAAAGCCACCGCAAAGCCGACGATAGCGCCTCCTGTTCAAATTACCACACATTCAACGGCCAGACCCCTGCCTGAACCACATGTTGAAGACACCTCGTTCTTCAAACCTCTTCCGTCGCATCTCTATCCTCATTCGAAAATACAACCGAACACAGTCAATAGGATAGACCACCTGGTACTAGGCGAGGCAACTGCCATAACGCGTGCACCCGTCCGCCCAATCACGAAAAAGACTACCAAGCGCCCGCCGCTACAGACCCATGATATGCCACAAGAAAAACCTGTTAAGCTGGAAGTACCCGCACCTATTATGTCTATTCCTCCAGGAGGGTCTGTCCCTAACGCAGGAGGTTTGCTTGGCTCAGGAATTCTCAAATTAGCAGGCTGCAACATCTACGGGAGAATGTACAGGGTCGGAAGGATTATCACGGAGTTGTCGACTCCGTGCCAGGAGTGCTGGTGTACGGAGTTGGGGGTCCAGTGCAAACCGCTGGCGTGCTGAATATCAGGGGGGAGTCAGTGTACAGTTTATTTGATCGGTTGGTACATAGCTGGGGGAATATGCTCTCACTACTGACAGCTGGCAGTGTTCCGAATAGGAGTGTCAGCGCGGCCTGCGCGCTCATGTTGTAGTTATGTGGTCTAGTGCCGGGTAGTGACTGCTTATATTCTTGTCCGGGCGCTAGTTGTAGTATTTATTTATATACAAAATGACCGGCGATGATCTCATACGACATAGACTATCATAGACTTGAATAATGTGTGCACGGAGGAGTGTTCTCTAGAGTTAGATCGCTACAATAATAATAATAATACAATAACACATAGACCAGCACTGCATTAGTTAGTGTAACGGCACGCTGACTGCTGCGCGGTGCATAGCAGTGCGTTAATGACGTTACACGGTAGCCCATAGAGAACTTCTCTATGCGGAAGCCTCACTCAGTGCATTTTAGTTTCGTATGCTAGACTTATTTATCATTTTAACATCTAGGATTAATTAAGGTATTAAATCTAATTAAACAAATTGTTGTGTTTCATTTGAATGTGTCGGTTCCTGAAAGTAAGAATTTGGAGAACAGGCATTAGGTTGGGACAGTGGCTAGTGGCCACACACACCAAACTGCCGCTTTACATAGAGAGAAGGACAAACTCTGACCTTGATTACTACCGGGAGTGGCACATGGCAACTAAATAAAACTTCAAATTATGCAAATAGAACGTTTATAAGATCACAATATCCACAAAAGCGATACAAATGTGTAAGACACTGAATTACGTTACCCAGACAACTGAACAACAACGTTCGAACATTGCCCTGTGCTTTCATGATTATCTCCTTCAACATTATAATATTATAGTTGTACATTTATAGCCCCGGGTCGCTCATTTGTGAGCCGGGAATGAGATCATTAGTATTTACTTTGTCATATTATGTTACAAACTAATAACACTCGATACATCGCTAACTGATATGTTGGTCATCGTATTTTTACATTAAATAAGTTACTTCAAGAAGGCAGTGACGTTTGTTGCTTAGCTTAAATAGCTGACAAATTCTCCATTTGTTGGTAACTGACAACATACATACAGGTACACAATGCGCTCACAAATTGAATAAACAAACAAATCGACTTGATCGTGTACAAATATATAACGGAAGAAAGAACAATAGACATATCTAAAAGATACAGAGAGACATATATTAATAATTGAGGTTTTTTGGAAATTGCATCGTTTAGTACTTACTTGTTATAAAGCAACATTTCGAGTTTTAAGTGTCATTATTATAGTAAGATACAGTAGAATGGTGCTTGAGTAGGTAATGAGGATGGTGTAGATATATTGTGACATAATAAAGATACGTTCAGTGTAAGTCGCGTGTATTTACTAGTATACAACAATAGTGAGGTTGGACTAGAACAGTAATCTCTTTGGCCGCAGCTCTCGGTGCACCGGCCGCGCGGTGCGGGCGGGTAGCGCGGGGTACCTCACAGTGTGTGTACACAATGACGACAGCCATTGCATTGTACAGACACCAGCATATCAACCTAACTGCATATCCGACTATACTGTTTAGTAATAAAGATTTTGATAACTATTGGAGTAGGTTCATCTACTGGAGTCTTTATCAGTGTACAACCACTACAAAGTTTCAGTATTTTTATGGTATTATCACAGCCATAACCGTACATACAAAGTTAAAAAGATAACTCCAAGGAGAGCCATACAACTGATAATAGTTTAAAGTTCGTTACAATTGCACTTGTCACTAGTTGCAGTCACTTACATTACATAACATCTAAGTACAAAGCTTACAACATATCACTAGCCGGGTAGTACAACGTTTTGATACAAAACAACAGAACGAGTGATTTCACAGAAATCAATAACGACAGTAACTCCGCGCCGCCGCTAGCTGTAAGATATGTCTGACAACGTCAGCAACAAAACTTCTGTCTTTCTGTACGTCTGTACGTGTGCTACCCACAGGGGGAGCGACACGGAGTTACAATTTACAATTTACAACATTTTCCTTAAAACTATTTCAAATGAACATTTAAGTACCTACATAACGCTTACGACTAGAATATGACTAAGGTCGATCACCCCACAGAAGCGGGGTCGAGGACATCGCGACCCGCTACTGCAGACTCCTTAGTCTAAACATGTAAGTAGGTGCCCATAAACGGTACAAACTTGTAAAATTCCCATCAAAAGCTATTCTAAGCTACGAATAGCGGACGGATGAGTACGAATTGCACTTGTCATCGAAACTCCAAGGTTCCGCGGGCCCGGCTCACGTCATGTCCTCCTCGCTGGGCTCGGCGGCGGCGGCCTGCGCGTAGCAGACGGTGGCCACCACCACCCCCGCCACCAGCGCCAGGGCGGACACCACACGACATGCTATCACGTATGGCTTTCTGTTGTTCTCACCTGCAACGCAGACAATACGTTGGTTAGATATAGGACATATTATCCAAGCAATACTCTAATCATGTTTTAAGTATTTTTTTGTGTTAAGTATATAAATAGCTACGAATGGTAATTTACCAGTGAACACAACGAAAGCAAGCGGCACCCCCACGACTGCACCGAGGATGTGCGCGGCCCAGGCCACGTACTCGTAGGGGCTGTGCACGTGCTCCCCGGCGTGGGGGGCGCGCGCGGGCAGCGGCGTGCGCATCAGCGCCCAGCATACTTCCGAGGCACCCAGCACTAGTACGCTCAGCGGACGGAACCACCACAACGATATGTGCCCGTGTCTGAAAACAAAGGTTTCCATTGTAAAACGACATTCGAGGGAAAATACACGAAACCATTACATACATACATATAATTTGTAGCTAGAATAGCTATACAACATTTATTAATGCATTATCTAGATACATTATAAGTGTAATTCAATAAATACAAAACTTACCTAAGGCACACGTTCGAAATATGCGCAGTAAGCAGCGCATACACAGCCGCAGAGGCGCCGACGACGCGCACCCTGTACTGCAGCAGACCAGCACCGAGCGCGCCGGCAGCCAGCCCGCCCACCCACAGCACCACCACGCGCCACCAGCCCTGCTCGCGCTCCAGCGGCCAGCCCACCTGCGACACACAAACAGTTACAACATATATGCGACTCTACAGATAATGACATGTATATGATTGATTGAGAAATTTGCAATCCAATAAAAGTTCATGATTGCACACTTACGGCTAGCGCGACGAGTGAGTTGAGCGCGAGGTGCAGGTGGCTGGCGTGCACGCAGCCGTAGGTGACGAGCCGCCAGGGCTCGCGCCACCACGAGTCCGGGTTCCACTGCAGCAAGGCGCGCACGTCCGCGTCCTTGATAGACTCGTGGATCAACACCTGGAAACAAGGCGGGGATACGGTTATCTAGTGGCACGTACTGCTCTAGCATGTTATTTATATGCCCGTCAGCTCTAGTAGTGCACACAAAGCATATGGTGCAATGAATGCAACGAATGCAACACTTACATTTACAATTATCATGGACACGATGAAGTACGGCGGCTTCAATAAAGCTATGAGATTTGCCTTCCTTTCGAATTTCTTCTTATCAGACTTAGTCTTCAAAATAGTTTTTTGAGACTTGGTCGCTGGAGGATACTTGTACTTGACCGGAGGATGCACTCCCAGCGTGAGGCCGGCCTGCAGCCTGGACTTGTGTTTAGCTGGCGGCCCGGAGGAGGGGAGCAGGCGCTTGTTCTCCCCGGGGCTGCTGGTGTTGTCTCCCGGCCGTTCGTCCTCGGTCTCGACCCAAGCAGTGGCCGGCGGCTGGCCATCCGGCAAGATCCTCCTGCCATGGTGCACAGGTACAGCTTGCTCCTCATTCAGGCGCTCCGTCTCGCAGTGCTCGGTACCGGGAGCCATGGTAAGCTCGAGTGTCACTCAGTCAGGACGACATGGTGGCGCTGCACGATGCCCTCCGCCCGCGTCGCCTGTAATGAACAAATACAGTCGGTCAGTGCCGCGCTCGCGGCTTTATATTCACTGACGAGGAAAATCTGTTTCAGTGAACTAATTAGGAATTCCGTGGTAAAAGGAAGTACTTTGATTAATTTATAATGATAATAATGGAACTAGTTGTCAACTGAAATGATACTGTAGAAGGTTCTTGTTCTAAATATGGTTTACGGCTGAAATTTCCGTAAAATTATCCTCGGGTCAAGAGAGAGAATGACTTAAGCTCATCGCCGTAGCAGGATACATACATAGATTAACTACACACATCGCAATTTGATCTGGTATGGTGTAGTGGACGTAAAATGAAAGATATAGAAGTTGATGCGCGATGGGTCACAATATTCTGATATAGTAGGTATACATATAGGTAAATGATATCAATTTATTACATGCACAATAAAAGATATAAACATTATAACCACAATTTTTCCCGTTCCTAGCATTAATTGTTAATCCTGATTTTTATTAGTTATTCTTATCACAATAAATGTGCGGGAAAACATTATATAATGCAATTGTGCGGGCGCATGCGCCGTAAATGTATATAGCGTACCTATAGTTAGGTTTGTTTATACCTACTTATGTCATCATTATGCAATACAAATAAATCTTATTTAAAAATTATATTGTTGTATGAATTTATGAAATAATCCTTTTCAGTTACATTTGGGGGAGTGTTTTTCTCTAAGATGTAGCTAGCTAGTGAAATGTAAGGCTAAGAACTCACGGAGCGATTTTGAACCGTGCCCGCCGCGGTAGCGGAACTGCGGTTTTATTTCCAAACTCACGAGACCGGTTATTTGCGCGGTTACACAGCCGCCGCGGTTGCGATCACCGCCCGCAAACGTGGCGGGCGATGATCGCAAGATTGCAAGACGGGCGGTTAACGATCACGCCGACGACACACACCAGAAACGAGCCATTGCGTTATATTTACTTCACAGAAGACCTGCCGGCCGCCGCGGTCGCTCGCCAACCGATCGCAAAGCGCGCGGGTGCCACCCGCCGAGGCTGCGGGTAACCGCGGCCCGCGCGATTCTACTAGTTGCCCGCCGGTACAGCGGGAGCCGCATACAACCGCGTACACCGCGGGCGTAAAACGCGTCGTGAAATGTGCTTTAATTTTTTATATGAATATTTGAATTCTACAGAAGCTGCGGGCCCGCAACCGCAGCGGACGCGGGCGAAAATCGCTCCGTGAGTTCTTAGCCTAACTGGTCTGTGCCACGGTTGACACTACTCGCGGTCAATCAAGCTTATTCATATTTTGCCTAACATTAATCACTGCAAAACCAACATTGAAAACATTGCAAATTGCAGGAGACAAGCAAAGAAATTGCAAGTACCATTGTATGATCATTGTTTAGTGAACCTACTTAGTAAGTTAGTAAGTGCTAGAGAGGGGGCGAAAAAAAAATTTTTACCGCCCACTGCACTACTGCAGGGGATCCCTAGACCCAGTCACCTCGACAGTGTCATGACACACACACAAATGTAGTGATGCTATCTAATACAGACATACACATTTGAACTTACGATCAACGGGAGCACATGTAGTTATGTTGGTGCTTTAAAAACAATTTTCGAACTCATTGCGATATATTATTTGGAATATTACACTTATCATTGTAACGGGTAGCACTTAACTTAAAACAATATCATTGTTTATGTTATTGAAATATAATGACGCAAGTTCATCAAGTCAATCGAGATTATTAATTCCTCAAATATACATTATTCTCTGATCATGACGAATGTACGGTTTAATTTATATTTCACGAATATTATCCTTGTGGATTCGCGTGAGAACGAGATCATTAAAATAATCTCTGACACACAATGACGTGTGACACTTGACGTAAAACTTTACTTTGGTACATTGTAACAAAACACAAGAGCAAAGAGGAAGGTTAATACAATTTAATAACTGAAGTCAATTCACCTATAAACGGTGATGCAGTAAAATTTCCTTAAATATGATTTACTTAGCTGTAAAAATTAATAGGTATCGCCAGAAAAGTCGTTGTACCTTATCGGGGAATACTGTTCGTTTAGGTTTTAACTATGTTGATAAGAAGAAGTTGACATGAACGCAACAGATTACAAAACAATGAACGCATGGTAAACTCAGAACAGATCCCGAGCGGAGACGGCGCGTCGCGATCCACGAGCGCCTCAAACAGCCAATAGACCACCACAGACGGGGCCCTATAGGGCTGATGTTCAGCCGGGGTTGCGGGGTAAACGCAATGAGGCACCGCGACCTCGGCCCAGAGCAGGAGAAGGAACGGGGGTTTTTAGTCAGTAAGAGTCTGACATTCTCCTGACAAATTTAATGATTAACCCTGACAAAAAAAAAATGCTAAACTCAGAACCTACAATGAGTAGATATCAAGAAGTAGTAAGAAGGTATTTTGAAAAATAAGCAATTAAATATTATTCGCATTGTTATCCATTTTCGGGTTATCTTATAACAATAACGTTATGATTACTAAATGAGAGAGTACCTATTAGTTTCGTTTTCCAGTAATATTTTATTTCATTTAGTTAGTGACCTGGTTATCGGGTTGACCCTAACGTTCTGCTGATACCCGCCGATATTACAGTCGCTGTAGGCTTAGCGTTGGTAGGGGGTAATTAAGGGGCCGGTGTCAGATCAATTTTAATTAATTAAGAGAGAGGGTGTGACCTGTCGTTACGCGTGTAGATATTAGAACATATGTATAGGTATATGTACAACTATATGCCTATATTTTCCTACTGTGGATTTGTCCGGTTTACGTGACCAAGCAAACGTTGCATGATGAAAATATATGAAGTAAGTTAACCTATACACAAAAAAGACTAGTTCTTCTTAACGGCTTCGCCCACAGTACCGGGGTAAAAATTTGCTCTATATGTTATTCCAGACTATAATCTATCTCTGTACCATATTTTATTCAGATCTCTTCAGTACTCTTTATGTGAAACGGTATCAAACATCTATCCATACTTACAAACTTTCGCATTATAATATTAGTTGGATGTTCCGATTTTACAAATAAGTTTTTACTTCGTGCTTCGACACCCGAGATCGTGACAGTCAGTCGGGACATAATCGATTCTATATTTATGTATAATTGTAGTACATTACTTGTGAGTAACGGTACAATAACAATTGAAGAGCTGGACACATTCGCTAATTCTGTCAGGCATATTAAATACTTGAATGCTATAATCGTGTGTCGAATTTTCCGGTTGACAGATATATAGCCGAGACAGCGTGACTACCCACATGCACTAGTATAGCCTAATGATAGCTCATTAGGCCTTATTTCACAGAAATCGGTTCAGTAGTTTAGGCGTGTAGAAAAGACAGACAGACAGACAGAGTTACTTTCGCATTTATAATATTAGTTTGGATTGCCTTTGTGACTAGAAAAACGAAGGTAAATATGTAGGTAAATAAGTGGTTTCTCATTACTTGTCATGATTACTGATATTTGTGTAAAGAAGGTGTGAAGGAGATTAGGTACGTATTGCTTGTATTTTGGTGTCTGAAAGTCGCGGTCGTGCGATGAACTCCGCTCGTGTAATTCATGAGTAAAGGACGAAACAACGTTTAACGTATATGAATGCTTAGCATGTACGCATACATATAGGATTTCTAACAATAACATGCACAAATATCTAGCTGCATAGTTTACCGTTACATGTCTTAATACAAGTTTTGTAGAAGCAAGTCAATTCAATGCAAATTAATGATATGTTCTGACCAATAATAGACACTTACACACACACATTTTAATGTTACGTAAAATTTATGATCATTTTGTGGTCGTGGTGGCCCGGAGGTTAAGGAGCCCGCTTCTCATGCAAGAGGGCGTGGGTTCGAAACTTGGCAAGTACCAATATGACTTTTTCCGAGTTATATGTACTTTCTATGATTATTTAGACACCACTGACATACGGTGAAGGAAAACATCGTGAGGAAACCTGGACTTATAATTTCTAATTATAAGTTTGAAATCGCCAACTCGCATTGAGCAAGATTAATGCTCTAACCTTCTCCGTATGAGAAGAGGCCTTTGCTCAGCAGTGGGCACTTATAGGCTGATGATGATGATCATTTTCGATATAGGGTGAAGGAAAACATTGTGAGGAAACCTGGACTTATAACTTCTATATTATTATGATGATGATGATAAAAGTTATTGTAGACTTGTTAATATTCCTACTAATGACTTCTTTGATAATTCTGAAACTTTACGACCGATTACAACAACAATATTTGCTTATTCTTTAAATAAAACGCGGCAAAATTATTGTGTAGATAGCATAGGTAGAGTACGAGATGGACAGCCTCCGCACCGCGCAGACAGCCTGAGACAGGTGTTAAACGACTGACGAAAGGTTCGATATGAAAGTTACCTGCGGCTGGGACAGGCACAGCAGATGCAGATACAAGCTACAAGCGGCCTGCTATCGCCACCAGGTGCTTACAGCTTCCTAAACCAATATACTATACATTAATGTCGCAATTGTCTTCGGAACAATACCTCCCCTGTCCCCGGCACAGGATATTTAACTAATGATAGTTACGATACGTATTAGTATTCACGGCGAGGTGTCGCTGACTTTTGCCTAAACGTCTGCCGGCTGTCTATCGTGCCTAGTGGGTTCGATGCCTGCTTCTGTCTCTGTGTGTATGAGTTCGCAACATACTGCTTTAAACACAGAAACAGTTAATAGATTATAATTGATTTAACGAGGATGCAGGTTTTTTCTTTTCATTGTATATGCTTTGCCTTTGCACATTTTTCTGATAATTACTAATCAGACCAATTCATATTTTGAACTTCTTCAACTTCAATTATTTGGATACTTTATATCGATACATTTAATTACATGTTACAAATCGTTTTGTTTGTCTGTATAAGCTGTGATTAAGTAAGGCGGAAATATTGTTAAATATTAGATTTTGCCAGTTAGGTAC